AAAAAGCCTTCTCCTGTACTGATTTCAACAGAAATGAAATCCACTAGTCCTCCACTAGTACAAATGGGAACTGTACAGCCAATTTATTTACAAAAAAAATTAAAAAAAGAGCTTATCAGCTTGTTTTGCCCTCTGTCACAGGACCAGGGATTGCTCTGTGAAGAAGCAGCCCCAAACATGAGAACCTGCTAAGGGGAAGGTGCTGGGCCAAGCCGAGGGCACGTGCTGGCACGCAAGCGCACGGCCGTGTGGCTGCGGAGCCGGCCTGCGCGCGGCTGCATTTYGCCCCGTAACCATGGGGATGGGAAAGGGCCTGCGGGAGCCGAACAAAGGCAACCTTCACACGCCGCTAAGCCKGGCTGAGAGAAGGCCCCACATTGCTGCTCAAAGGGACTTGCTTCGCTCATCTCTGAACGTATGAACTGCCTTCCACCTGTAGGCCCAAAAGGAAAGGGGTTTATTCGCGTTTAGCTGTTTGGCCAGTTGTCCATTGCACTGCGAGTCCCTGGTCCTAGCCTTGAAGAAAAAAATACCATTCCAAAGATACGCAGATGTGCAAAAACCGTTTTCATTCATTTTAAATCAACAGTGAAAAACACCACAATGCATAACATTTATAGAGTCTAAAACAACTAAAACCCAATAATAATAAAAACAGTCTCAGCCTTTTAACTTCCTAAATAAAACTCCTATAATCAAATCAAAAAAGTAAAGAACAACTAAAAACTGTTTCAGAGACAGGCAGCACACACACATGGTTAAAACTTTTCTGCAATGCCTCCTGTTTACTTTGCCTAAATTATGCACAAATAAATATTAACTGTTAATGTATTTAGGAGTGTGAAGGTAATACCCTGGACACTTGTTAAAATAAACATCATTTGTACAAAATGCAAGTCCAGCAACACAGTATGAAAGAGCCCTTACTTCAGCATGCCATGCTGTGAAAGGCAAAACTCCAAGAATAATATATAATAACGCTCCTGATATCTGACAAACTTTCTTAAATTAGGAAAAACTAGAGATACTTCTGATTTCAAAAAAATTCACACTTGGGTACTGCTTTTTCAACACCCAATCTTTGGATGCAAAAGAGGAAAAACAATTTTCTTGTATGTTAAACTTGTTCACAAACAACATGCTAGTAAAACAACAAAACAACAATCATAAGAAAGGGAGAAAGACAAAGATAAACTAACTTGTACAGCTTTAAGTTAGCACATATGTATGTTTTACAATCACATACYGCATTTTTACATGGACTTTTGGCTTCATTTATTGTACAAAGTGGATAGTACAAAGCGGATAGTTTTCACTTGTTATTCAGTTATCAGCTTTCTCTGTGTTGTTCAGCACATTGCCTTGTACTTTCGAGATACAGTTTTCTAATTTACTGAAGTAGCAGTATCCTTGTGGATAAACCTCCACATATTGCATCATCTATTTGCAAATGCAAGGGAAATTATTTTTGAACACTGAGAAAAATGAGAGATTATCTTTTCTCCATTTATAGAGTGGAAACAAAACATGAAGGTCAAAAGTACTTACCAGTTCTGGATATCTAACTTGATATAATTAAAACCTTATTTTTTCGGAATGCTTAACACAGTCAAAGTGCAAATTCTTTTGACTTCATTCACGGTTGTGAATGCACAGCAGCTTTGCCTATAAAGATGCAGCTTCACTGCTGTAGCCCGTGCAAGTTCTGGCTACTAGGAAAGCATCTTTGCCAGCTTCCCTCCCACCTCTGGCCAGGAGCAGCACTGGAATAAATTGCACAAGTGAACAGGCCTAGTATAGCTAATCCCTAACAGGGACCTAAAAAAGGGAGAAGATGACTCCTGGAGCTGGTAAGTCCCTAGCCTTTTTCTCTAAGAAAGCCCTGGTGGCAGCGCGGGAAAACTGGTGGGGAAAACGTAACCAGGAGTGGGCAGAAGTCCTTGCAACAGCAATCCCACATTTAGGTCAGCTTAACCAGATCATGAAAACACAGCTTCAGTTTTGAGAACCCCTGGCTGAGCAAAGAGAAAGAGAAGAGCACAAAAGCTCCAACCACATGTCAAAGATTTGATTTAAATGACTCGCCTGAAACTGCACTAGGCTTTTGTAGCAAAAAAAGTCAGAGAAAGAATCCAATTCTAAAARAAAAATATCTTTCTCTTCAGCCTACCCTTCTTCCTTCTATTTCCAGCAACAAGTGAGGCAAGAGCATTAGCTGCTTTTCTGATCAGCAGCCTTCCACAATTACAGAGGCTACAATTACCTGTGGCCAAAGCAGCATAAGATACATGAAAGACAAATGCAGATCAGTAACTTATTTCTAATACTCCCTAACTCTTAAGKGTTTGTTCTTTTATCACAACTTTCACCTATATAGTTCCCTAGGATAAAAAAGAAACACAACTTGAAGAGAACAACTACTGCACAGTARTATTAATAGGGTCTTCTCCTATCTCACCATACAGTCCCACAGSCCACTGCCTACAAGGCTGATGAGATGCTACTGGTTCCCTGGAACAAGAAGACACTTCATTAGCAAGAGTCAGATATTAACTGAATGACAACSAAGACATTGCACTGGGAGGAATCTGATTCTGCCTAGAGTTTTGGAGAAACCTCTGGACGTTTACCTATAAGGCTGCTTCCTCTTTGAGGCTGCCTGCAGCAGTAGCTATTGCAGGGGGCTGGGGATGCTGTCAGTGACAGCAGCACCTTGCTGAGATCTCTTTTGACCCTCAAATGGTACATCTGTTATCATGGGCTAACAGAAATCCAGGATCCAGAAGTAAAAACCAGAGTGCAACACAAATTTTTGTGAAAATACTAAATAAGAACAYGACAGGTATCATTCCTGTACGTGCAGGTACAGACCCAGACTTCTAGTGGGGAGCAGTGGTGCCTACATGAACTCAACTGCACAGGAAGCCCAGCTGACCTCCATGCAGAAAAAGGACCAAATTTATAATAGTAAGCTGATAAAAATCTATTTCTTTCCAGAGGAATGTATTTTTCCTTTCCAAAGGTTTGTTACTTAGCCAAATTTGGGTAGATTTTCAAGATGATGCAAATATCACCTTCCTGCCAAATTTCAAATATCTGTTCTGAAACTTGAGGGCACTGTAGCTTCTCAAAGAAAACATTACCAGAAGTGAACCCAGACAAGGCACTCTATTTTGCACTCACTCTCAGAAGGAGCTGGAATATTTTGACTCCAATTTTTGTGAACAGGCTTAAGGAAGAAACCTGATGCTGAAAAATGCACTCCTAAAGAATAAAATACAACAGAAAAGACTGTCTTGCAACAGAGAGCATCATGCTTTGTTGTATAGGCCGTGCTGTAAAGTCCATCTCTCAGTCATGATTATTTGTCATAAAATAATCAACMTCCATCAGCTACATAATTTTTTGCCAGCAAATAGGTGTGGTAGCACCGTTACCAACAGTTATCAAAACAGCAGTTTTATGGTATTTCTATCTGTTCTTGTATACGAGAAGTCTCAATCATTTTCCAAACAGAAAAATACACTCCAAGAGTAACTCAACTCACACCTAACTGTTGCATTACTTGAGCGACAGCCTAATACTCTTACACAATATCTTTAATATGGCTGATAGTGCCAAAACGAATACAAAAATCCATCTTGAAATAAACTTGGCCTGTTTGCTTGCAGGATCACTTAATTCAGCTAAACTAGCTCAATCAAATTCATGCAGATTGCATCTGCAGTTAAAACAGTTCATTTAAAGTGAATCAATCCATTTTATTGAGAAATGATTATGGCAAAGCTACAGTAACTTTCACCACAGCAACTCCTTAGGTTGCTTGGTGAAAATGCTCCCTACCCAAAACTTTTTTTTCTTCCTATGGAAACCTGCAAGATCAAGGAAGGCGCAAGCAAGTAATAATTCAGCAATTACATCCACCAACATCAAACGTCACGACATCTGAAATCAGAATTATGGCAGCTTGAACTATATGAATGAAGACAAGTCTGTCTGACCTGTACATCCATGGCCCGAGCACGGCTGACCCATTCCCTGGAGGGAGCTCTCCTTGCAGGGGAACCCTGCGCGCAACGCTCCTCGTCTCCTACCTTAAACACTCCTCTCCAAAACCTCMCAAGTCTCAAGGCTTGAGTTACACCTTGAATTACAAAGCACATTTATGTTCTTGACATGCACTGACTGTAACCAGGGGAATAAAGGATTAACGAAGCAAAAAAATCTTGTGGGTGTTTTCCACTTGGATGTTTTAAGAGTTCTTCCTTTAGAAAAGTTACCTGGTTGTTTGTACAAAGTATGCCTCATCGCAGGTTAATATTTTTGCATTTGATTTCATACCCTGCAGCCGTACATTCCACTGCCATGTTTTCTATAGTTACTGGAAGAACAAGTTGGAACAGCTCATCGGTGAAAACTCATTTTTGTTTCTTCTTCAGTAACTCGGTAATTAAAGGTTCATGAGAGCATATAGAATATTTAAGCCCTGAAAGTGCTTGAGAATTTGCTCATGGCAAGTGAATATAACAGCTTATGGTTCCCAGGAAAATATAAGTAATGGCAATTCAGTCAGCCAAGAGAAGGAGATGTTTCAAGTTTCCCTGTCCTTTTCCAAGGAACATCTGCCCAAGAGGGTGGGAACGAACCTAAAGATCTCTTACGAACCAGGAACAGAATTCATAATAAAGAATAAAATCTTCCTTTTCAGAACAGCACAGTCACTATATAAGTTTATACAGCAAACTGCACTCACTTCTCATCCTTTTTTTTTTGAAACACAAGCTCCGTGCCAACCCAGGGGCTCCAGATTTTGACCGCTCTAAAAATGCAGACTTTCTGCTTGCCGCCCATACATACACACATATGTACATATGGGCACATAGACACGCTCCCGCCGCCCGGCTCCGTGCCCCGAGGCCGAGGAGGAGCAGGGGGAAGGACAGACGCGCCCGGCCCGCATCGCGCCCTCGCCCCGCACCTGCGGCGCCCGCGGGACCTACCAAGAGCGACGAGCAGAAGCAGCGGCACCGAGTCCATGGCGCGGTGGGGCGCGGTGGGGCGCGGTGGGGCGCGGAGGGGCGCGGAGGGGCGCGGAGGGTCTGCAGCGGCTCCCGAGCTGGCCGCTTCCCAGCGCGGCACTGAGCGCCACCTGCTCCTCGCCGCCCCGAAATACCCGCCCTCCTCCTCCTCCTCCTCCTCTTCCTCCTCCTCCTCCTCCCTGCGCCGCTCCTCCCTGCGCGCCGCGGGTGCGGAGCGGCCCCCGCCCCGCCGTGCCCCTCGCCGTGGCCTCGGGGCGGCAGCCGCCGTGCGTGCCCTGAGCCTGCGGCGTGACGGGTAGGGACCCGGGGTCCCCTTTCCAACCGCTGTGAGCCYTTTGAAGCTGCTGGAAACCTAGGACCGTGGAAAAACCGGTTAATTTACAGARCTGTGTAAGAGTGGGTATCTTCCGCATGTATTAAGTTTCATATTCAAATGTGTGAGGGCTGTACCTTCCAGTCTTAGTGAATTTGGCTGCACTGAATATTCTGCAGCATGTGAGAGCACCACAGGATCCGGGACGCTTCCCACACGGCTGATGGGAAGTTTGCCCTGATGCTGCCCACAGGGCCTCAGGTGCCAGGATGGTATCTCGATTCCCATCTGCAAGCAAATCAGAACAACATGTACAGTGCAGGACACCCCTATTCTGTGTCTCAGCCTACGTAGCACTGCAGAAGGCTACAGACTCAGAGTATATGAGAAACAAAACTTCTCCAACATGGTTCTCCACGTTCCACAACTCCACRGTTCTCATATGTGTCAAAACCTGTGCTGCTGCCTTTTCATGTTGGAGATATTCTATTTTGCAACAGTGATTTTTGGTGAATAAGTGCAAACTTCCTGGTATTAACCTGGAATAAATACAGTTGTCCGAGAAATGTTTCCCTCCTTCCCCCATCTTGCCATCTAGGCCATGGYCCTCTCACTGTGACACAGACCATAGCTTTTGTTTCAGCAGTAGTATAAAAATACATGTGTTTTCTTCAGTTTCAACTTCTTACTATTCCAAGTATGAATTCTAAATTAAAGTAAGCAAGTCTGCTCAACAGGCAGATTCAACTAATCATTCAACTAATAATTGTGTGGACACTGCTTCTTTACAGCCTAGCATAGTTCAGGAAAGCTCTTTCAGGATGCTGCCGTCGTTGATGAATCGTAGCATGGACCTGTCATTTTACAACACACATTGATTTCTTTCATGTATTTACCTTCTTAGGACACACAATTACTAACTCACCCTAACCATATGAACTTACACATGGCTTCAGTCTCTGTGAACACTTCCCAGACCATAGTCATTTCCTCACTCTGAGATATTCCCTCTGCACTTAGTCAACCATTTACCAAGAATGACTCACGTGTCTCCAAATACCATCCCTCAATTTCCTCTTGATGGTATCGTTAAAAAAAAGAAAAAAAAAATCAGGCAAACAGACAGTTTAAGGTGCGGCTACCTAGGGCAGAAATGGCAACATGAAGAACACACAAATTAAGACTGGGGAGCAGCCCTGGTGCCTTTTCTTCCAGTCCACACTGAGTGCACGAGCATGTCCACAGCTCCYGGACACAGAGGAAAATCTGCTTCCTTGAAGAAGACAAATGTTAATTAATTAACACAAACGAAGGAACGATAAAATGGGCACTTAGTGAAATATACCTAGAATCCACCTCCGCCCCGCCCTAAAATAAACTCCRCAGAGTAACCAAGATGTCTGCTTTTCCTAAGAAACAATGTCGTTGATTCAGTTACATCATTCTAATTATAAATGTACCCTAAGGTTATGAAACTTTCTTCCTCATCCAGACACAATGTTCAAAAGCAGTTTCTCACACACAAAGGCCGTCTCCCAGAGTTTATATACATTTATCTGTATATACAAAGACTAAATTGTGAATTATTATATTCTCTTATACCTTGGACGGATGGTTCTGTTTTAAACAAATTGAAAGGAGTTTGATAAGAACAGTCATTCTGAATTCTGAGTTCTGAATACAATTCTGAACTATATAATGCATATTATGAAAATATTATTTAAAAAAAGATTTTCTGTAGTATGCAATATTTCATTTTTTAAAAGATCTTGGTCTATGTTATGCATAATACATGTATTCTGAAAAAAAAAGATCTTTTTATACCTCACCAATGCTTGGAAAAAAAACATCCAGTGAACAGTTTAGTTAGTGCTGTTTATCTTTTGTAATTCAAAATGGGGCCTTGTAAACATCCTTTGCTCTACATGTCTTCACCATTTAATGATGCCTTTTATAGCACCCTGTTGTGTCTGCTTGTTCAGTGATCATAGGGACGCTTGCCAAAAATGCCGTATCTGTCTGATCTGATTTGTAAAATGTCAGTCTTTCCTTTATACAAATATGAATTTCTTGTACATTAAAAGAATTATTTTATTGCTAAGTGCCAAAGTAACTTTCCTTTTTTTCAGTGTAAAGACTGAGGGAAGCAAGTAGCTCGGTCCATTCCACAACAAAAGATGACTATAATATTTGCAAATTTCAAGAAGAACAAAAAACTGGAAAGGGAAGAAGCTGAAAAAATATTGAAACTGTTTTTTCATTTTATTTTTAGTGAATACATACTGAATCATCTGTTTTATCGTGGGAATTTATAAGTAATGTATATTTTCATAGCTTTTTAACATGATGACCTATTGCAAGCTTAATGAGAACCTTCTCAGAAAAAACATACAGACATTTTCATATTTGTAATTCGTGAGGGGTGGCCACAGACTCACAGTTTCTGTGGTATGCAAAATGGATGATTTTTTGTTAATGCATTTCTGGGAGGGGCTCTCACAAAGGCCACCTCTGAGCACATTGATGATCACAGTTACCCCAAGCTACATGGCTCCAAGATACTCGTTTGATGGGATCTGTCTGAAGGAGGGGTACAACTTATTGGAAGGGTTTACAAATAATGATAATCAAAGATTGAAAAGTCATGGATGAAAACAGAAAAACCTACCTAAGAAAAAACTAAGAAAACTAAGAAAAACCTACCTAAGAAAAGAATGTCAATCCAGAATAATATAAAAATTGCGTATCTCCCACCTTGAACAAGATTGAGCAGAGAAAGTACCCCCACAAAATGCACAATGCCCCAGAACATCATGGGCTGGTGTCCTGGGTGCTCCTGACCTATGTCCTGTGAGCATTCAGAAGACAGTGAGAACCAAGTAGCTTGTACCTCCTTTTCCTCATAGTCCCTCTGGCTGTTATTGCTTTTATTTTAACTAACTTCAGGCTGTTAAAAATCAGATTGGGCTTGTAATGTGCATCTGTACACAGATATTTGAGATAGAGAATGTATAAAGAAAAGTCCTTCAACTTYAAAAACTCTCACAAAATACTCAGGAGTACATTTTGTGTTTAATGAACACATAAAAATCTACTGCTGGTTACTTATTATTTTTGGCAAATAATAGTTGTATCAGACCTATGCTCAAGAAAAACATTATGTTAGGTTCTGTACAATAATATCTCCACTACAGGAAAAATCTAAAAAGGAAGTGTTAAAATTAGCTGTGAGGATGTCATTTAGACACTAGAAGCGGAAAGGCTGAAACGAGTTAAGGATGGTGTGAAATGGCCTCAGTGCAAAGGCTAATTAAGTAAAATAAGAATCCTTAGTCTGGGAAAGAGGGATCTTAAGAAGAAATATGGTGGACATACAATATTAGAAGGGGCAAGGGGCCAGCTGGTGGGGTCACCTGTATGCTTTCACAGCATAGATTTAGGGTTATCTGGTGAAGGTGGTTAAGTGGCAAGATCAGCACAGGCCAAAGGCCACTGTTTACTCAGCACATGTAGGTGAGTGCCACAGAATGTTGCTTACATTCAAAGTTAACCTGAATTCCCCATCACTGGCATGGAAGAGGAATCCCCATGGGTGACTAACTAACACTGAAGCCTTCTTGGCCTGTGAAGACCTTCAGCTCTCGCTCTGGCCCCCTAAACCCCTTTGGAGGTAAATTGACTCCTCATGGTTCAGCTCCTAGCTCTTAGCTTAGTCATGCTCAGTTGAAAAGTCACTAGCATCTGAATAGGCTTATTATCACAGCTGCATATTCCTTCATTCTAGCTCTTTGACTGGGCTTTTGCAAAACCCGAAACCACTGCACCTCYTTTCCTAGTTATATGGTCCTACCCSCAGGCCTTATGGYGGCTCTGCCACCTGCACAACTGCCCCATGAGGGCCCAAGGGGACTCCAGAATCACRCTCACAACAAGAAGCTGTTGTGGCATTAATCCTGACCAAAAGCAGGTGAGTTTGGAAAAGGGTGGAGCTCCTGTCTCCTTCACCTCCCCTTGCATCCAAATCACTCTACTCCATAAGAAGAAGCTTATTTTCTTACCAAGTAGTTAAAAAGATCTTTAAATACAACCCAAATGCAATCCAAGTAAAAAAAAAAAAGCAACCTAAGTCTTCTGTTTTCCACATAAACTGATAAAACTGAAAAGAGCTGAAAGAAATGATAAACATGCAAAATAGAAAATGTAAAATGTTTTTAAGTCTGGTTGTCAGAATGTAGTTGATTTCTTAATAGGGAGATACTAGCCTTGCCGGGACTATAACACATTAAATACTGAAGATGCCAGAAGCTCCTGAAGAAGCTACAGTTTAATGCTTGTTTCACTTCTGCCAAGAGATGCATACCCATGGCTTGATCTGAAGAGCAGTCATGCAGCAGTAAGAGTCAGAGCCTTCAAAGTGAGGCTTTTCKCTGAAAAAATACACGTGAAATTGATATTCAAGCCGCTAGTGGCTAATCACTCTGTGCAACAGGACTTCAGTTTGTCCAAAGTAAAACCTACTTTGCTTCCTATTTTGTAGATGTTTACCAACTGCATGTTATTTCAACTAAATCTCACCAAATATCTGTATCCGTATCTATATGTACACTCTTCATTAATTAATATTCCATTTGAGCAATGTCTGTGATCATCAGGAGCAGATTATATTCTCAGGAAATGAGGTTGCCGGTGAAGAAGTG